GAATACAAATATTGAAGCATATGAGCTTTCTTGACCACTTTGACGACTACATGTTGGCAGCGATCCATTAAAAATGCACTTCGTAACCTTTTATCTCTCATGTTTGACCGTTGGGACTCATTAAAGTCTAATGAAGAGATTAGCGTTGAGGCGTGATTTGTTCACGGCTGCAGTCACATAATTAGAGGTGTTTCGAGGTGAGCTCCTGTGAAATGAACGCTGGAGACATATGTTGTATGTATGTGGAAGAGCCGCCGTGTATTGGACTTTTTCTAGTGGAGACCATTCAAGCGCTCGAATGCCCGTTGGCGTCGCGATTTACACCACGTTTCGAAAGGGAAAAGTCAAGTGCACACAGCACATACACACGCGAAATTGCAGAAACACAGCTGACCCATAAGACGAATCGGAAAAAAAGCATTTCACACAACATGCTTTCGACTGCATGCTGTGTGGGTTATTACAGCCTGGCCATACGACGGATGGCTGAAGTAAAGCTGAACAATGTTCGCCGTTCGAGCACGGTTTTGAAGGGGCCGGCAACGAATGCAGTGAAGAAGTAGGTGTAGAGAAAAGTGGATAGGAGACCTTGTGACGGTGAAAATGTAGTTCGAGGGGGCCACTCCTTGTTATAATTATCCTTAGCACCAGAGAGGCACTTCTCCATACTCTCTAAGGATAAGGTAATACGTAAACGGCTCATTTGCGGTGTACTTTTGATAAGGACCGGTGGATGTCCTATATTCCACACTACCTGCCCACATCCCATCCACTTTTCTGCACCTGGTGATCCACCCTGGAGCTCCTGCACCCTTAGGCCTTTGCGGAGGTGTCCTTTCTCCTGGTCCAGGACCGTTCCCTTGGGTCATGACAGGCGAAAATGTGAAAGCATCCCAGGGTTTCTTCCACATTACACCGATACTTATCAGAAGCATGTTCAAAATGAGTCGATAACGTATCATGAGCGCTAATATTCCTTAGCTTGATATTGTAGAGTACAATGGAATGGCCCCCTCGAACTACATTTTCACCCTTGTGATCTTTACAGGATGGAAACACTTTCGAGTGGCTCCACAAGAATGCCGAGTTATGAGCCCTGGCCCCACGAAGCTCGGAATCTCAACTGCTTTTCGGTATTTGTGCCACTACTCACACTTGTTGAGCACCATTTCATGTTCAGCCTAAGTGGAGTGAAAATTGGGACCTGCCTTGAAAAGCGGTACTAAAATGGTAAATGGTGGTCACAGTTGGATTTTTGACGGAGGTCAGCTTCAAAGGCTCTAGAATATTACCACGCCTCTTCGCAATCTGACGGTTAATGGTGTCTATAGTTTCTTGATGTTTCAAAATGTTTGAAGGTGTCTATATTCTCAATAAACCTGCTTTAACTTAGCCACTCCCCCAAAACTCTCATCCTCTGCAACAGTAAAAATTGCGGAAAAAAATTCAAAAGATCGCTAATATGCACAGATTCGTTCCGAAATTCTGATGGCATCTCCTCTTCCTATCTATTCTAGAATTAGGAACCTCTACTATCGTCTATTTCGCCCAGATGGATTACTGCTTGTTGTGTTGTAGGAGCCAGTGGAGTAGCTCACCAAGCTCACATCAAATTCTATACCCTACATGGAGAGAGGTGAGGAGGAGAGAAGGATCAAAAAAGGAATTTATTTATATTTATCGCCTAACTGATTGCACCTTGCTCAATTCTAACCTGAAACCCTCCAAGTGTTAATTGGAGAGCATGTTGAAATGCATCCATCGGAAAATTCATAATAGACTAGACGGGCGTCATAAGAAGAATTTGCCACGGGTACATAGTGCGAGATTCGAGCTCGAGGCCTACTCGCCAAAGGGGCCTTTAGGGATCCTAAAACTTTCACCAGCTGCGGCACCAAAGTTGGCCATGTGCATCATGAGTAAAAAACTTTTTTTTTGCTATTGGGACCAAAAAGTATGAATATTTTCACTCAAGTCAACCAACATGTACATATGACGCAAAAGGCAGTGGGTGACGGCGGTGGGCACAAAGGGAATGAGGGCCAAGTGGTTATCGGAGTGTGGCGCCGACGATGTCAGTGTCGGCGGTCAAGGTGTCCTCTTCAATCGCCTGTACCTTCTAAACCTCGTCCTCCTCAGCAAATGTCCTCGTAACACTCGTCCGACCGGACATGTATAGTAAAAGAACGCTTTGTGTTCACTCGATGCACATACACATGCCACATGTGACAACAGCGTTGCATTGGGCGTCCAGCTCCAACAGCTATCACTATAGAGTACGGAAAAACCGAGATGAGACTAGCATGTGCCCAGTGATCAGCTGTTTACTGGACATAAACAAACAACAACAGCACAAATAGATCGGGTTGTAATCACTCATTACGCCATCATAGCCGTGTGTTATGCGATCAGTACACAATTACACAGAAGCTACTCGCGACTAAACCCTTGAGAACGGGATCGAGAAAGGTCCTTGGGAAGTGCGCGAACGCGCTGAAACAGAACCAATTAGAGGCTATTTCGATGTTGCGTCGACAAATGACCAACATGAATTCTCACCGAATTTCGAGATGAGCGGGGCGGACGGGGGATTCAGTCAGGCGAAATCGCTGCCCTTTCAATAACGTACTTGTGAACCAGTTTTGTGCAGATGAAACCTGTTATTACTGTTGCGAGGAGTGATTCTCATTGTTCCTCGCTGAGGTTCATGTGTGTTGGGGAATATGCGATGAGATGTTCATCGGGCGTTAAAATCACTTACTGCAGGTGCGATGCTGGTGGAATAGCGTTCCGATTCTGACCGAACACTAAGGGACGTTTCTACCATCTAAAATTTCACGAAACAAGTGGTAATATGAACGGATTTTTCAGAAGGGGGTTCGGATGAAATGGAGTAGGATACGATCCCGTAAGAATTCGTATAAGCATGTAGCCATCCTTTTCTGATACACGTTCCCTGATGATACCCCCGTCTCGCAGTGCCTGCTTTTGAAATACCAGATCCATCCGGAATGGTTGAAAACCTGGACCTGACGCAAAATTTTCCCGTTTGAAACCTCACGGTAAAATGGCTGGGAGCTGCCAGACATTTATTCTTGCGCTGATCGCGTGCACATACCGTGACGAATCAAGGATAAAGCATTTGCCGTTGATCAATCCCTTTTTGGGATGCGGCACGCATTCTACTTCCATTTGTACATTCGTAGTGGCGTTTGAATGCGATGTGGCCTATACAATGACTTGCGGGGCCAGCCGATGTACAAGTCAGTGTTTTTATCCTCCCAGACAAGTCTGGTACCAATTAACCGACCCCGGAGGGATGGAAGGCTTGGTTGGCCGGGCGACGCACGACCCAGGATTTGATCCCCGGACCGCTCGCGTGGTAAGCGTGCCACTTGCCACTACACCACTTCCGCCC